ATTTTGATGGTTATTTTTGAAATGCCTTTATCAATAAAAGTTATTCCTCACAATTTCTTCTATTTAAAATATATGGATACAAGTTTAGATGATACTTTTAAAATTTAATTAGGTATTTATAAAATTCACGTATTTTATGAAATAATTAAATTTTAATTAGGGTTTCGGATATGATATTTTAAATTTGAGTTCGATTTGAGATATATTTATATACATTATTATATTAATAAAAAATATTTGTTAATCAAATTGTAATTTTAAAAACATATTTAAAAATATTAAAATACACTTGTAACGATGGTTATTAAAAAGTGAGGAAAAAGTTGGCAGCAGACAAAATAGAATTGAAAAAGGTTAATAGAGAAAGATGGGATTCAGGATTTAGTGATTTTTTGTCTTTGAAAAAGGAAGTAAAGGTTGGTATTGATTTAAAAAGACGTGGAGCATATGGTCTCCTCTTTTAATTGTGCAGTCTACTCCCGTTATTCTTTGTCTGATGTTTTGAGATATTTTCTAATGTTTGGGATCAAAACTCTCTTAAATTCCTAAATTTAATTAACCAAAATTTAAGTCATGAGCTGTTTTGGTCATGGCTTGAGCAAAGATTTGGGCGGTGAGAAAGGAGGGAGAGGAAACCACCTATGTGCTCGCCCTTATCTATTAGAGGCAATGTACAAATTTATTAGTTTGGCCTTCTTGGTTTTTTAAAAATATTTAGTTTATTTGATTTTTAAGTATGGTGGATCAAATCATTCGTGTGCTTAACCCTATCGATAAGAGGCAATATATAAAAAAAGTACAAAATTGGGTTGAAAAACGTTTCAGCCCTGAATCATGTGCTTCTCGTTTGTATTTACATATGATTACAAGAAAGGTGAAATCAAAGTAGTAGCAGGACCCAAACTTGTCCCAATTCAAACACAACATGACCACACAGAAAATTTTCCTGATGTACCAAGCTTGCAATTTTACAGGTAAAACAGTAAAAATGGTGAATTAATTGGAGCCACTGAAATCAAGATAATCAAAAGTGAGAGGCCTAAACACATGGCTAGCTTCGGTCTCTATCAGCTCCAACTGGCTTTCGAAAAGGTGCATATACACCACCCAATCACCTTCCCTTGCCGGGCTGGGCATTGGCATCACGTATCCAGCGTCCCCTCCCCAAGGGAAATGATATGAACCAAAAACAGGGCAACCCCACCCGAAATCCACTTTTGAAACCGGGAAACGTTGCCCCGATGATACCACGAATGCCGGTCCATCATCACTGCCGTTGCTGTATATCTTGGCCAGCGCCGGTTCAGGACGGTGAGCTTCAACCCAATCAATCAGGCCTAGGAAATGTTCCTTTGTCACGGCTTGGTCTAGGAAATTATGAACCTGATTGGCTACCCAGGACAAGGGCTTTTCGATCAGTTCATTTACCTTTTGGCCTCCGTAGGGAATGGAAAGAACATTTCCGAAATAACAACTCATTAGACTTGCTCTGTCTTTATCTCCTTCACCTAATCTACCCCTTCCATCCACAACGATCCCCATTTTTGTAAACTCGGAATCATCATCTTTAGCCGCAACAAGTGCTACCATTTTCCACAAAAATGCACTGAAAGACTCAAGCTTAGTCCTTTTGTATCCATTAGAGCAGGCGAGTGATTGAAGCTCATTGAGTTGTTCAGCAGTAATGTAATATATGCGACTAATCAGTTGATCAGTGGCTTGATGTTGCTGTTTGGGGGGTGGCAATGAGGATATGGGCACATACATGTCGTCTAGAGAGGGGTCAATACGCCCTGGACGCCTGGGGTTCAGCAGAGACCGGCGAAAGGATGGAACCGCGGAGCTTGACTTGGACCGAGCCATTTCAGCCCAAGAGACAAGAAACATGTTGGCTGAGTAGGCATCGGCTATACGATGATCAAATGTACCTGCCACCACTAATCCGCCGCATCTAAGTTCAGTTGCCTGTAAAACATAACAAGCAAAAAAAATAAAATTAAAATAATACACCAATCAATAAATCAAATGTTTAGAAAGAGTGAAGCTTATATTAATGGAAGTCTTATCAATTATCATAATTATCATTCTAATAAAAAGTTAAACAATATGAAAGCTAAAATTTGATGCCTCTATCCTTTTGCTTATTAATAAATTTGAGTTTGCAAAAAATTAGCATAAAATTAGTACCTAACACCGTTATTATAAGAAGTTTTGAGGGGAATAAAAAATAAAAAAAATAATGAAATTAATTTCGACATATAAGAAAAATAAGAGTTTTAAATGTTACAAAAGAAAGAGAAAACATAATTTTAAGATATTCAAAACAAAAAAAAAAACAAAAAAGAACGGAAGGTATATAATAGGAGCTACCATAAATTATAATTACACGAATATACATTCTTATTTATTACTCTATAATAATTTATGAACTTATTAAATCAATAATCACCCAACATCTTGTATCCGTTTTCATAGACTCAAAGTTGATTAGATTATGATTATTATTGCTCATTTAATTGCAGTATTCTTTTTGGTGGTGCAGACAGCGGGGAAAGCGATGTCCTTACCATCATGACTGGCCAATTGAAAGGACTTTAGTATATATAAATATTACCTTATAATTATCAACTGCAGCGCGTTCAGTTCATTTTATTATTAAGAGATTTTTCTATTTATCAACCCCGACGATATCTCCCTGGTATTTTGGGTATATTTCTGTTCGATATTCACACCCCAAGGGGACCTGACTCTCTAAGTTTGCTGTTTTCACTGTTCATGTTAGGGAGAGAAACCCAACTTACTCCAGCCAGCCAGCTTTTAGTTGGGTATTTGTGTATATGTTTGGAGTACGGACTTACCTGAACCGAGAGCACCCCTTGTTTCTTCTTAGGTACTAGTTTGCCTTCAATGCTTTCATCAGGGTTATGCAAATCGAGATTTCGGAGCTCGACGTCAGCGTAAGCTTCAATGAAATCCACCCCTCGATTGTTGCAAACAAGCTCGGGCTCACCCACGGTGTTAGGCACAACCTCGCCGGCGAAGGCGTAGTAGGAGACGAGAGCCTGAGCCATGGCCTTCTTGAGTACACTAACCATGGAACCGAAGGTCATGGCGTCCCCTACACCTACTGCTTTCTTGTAGCAAAAGAAGACCCCCACATCAACGGCTGGCAGCAGCAAGTCAAGGTTGGAGAATGGTAGCCAGTGTTCCTGCAATGGTAACACTGCTGCCACCACTTCCTCCTTGCTCACCGTCACCGTGAAATCTCCTTCTGTACCCATGCCTTGCTAGCTACGATCTCTGTATGTTTCTTGGTGAGAAATATTGTGACAGAGTGGTGAGTTTGCATGCGCGGTGGAGCTTCAATTTATAGGCAAAAGAGGGCTTTAATGCTGTTTCCCCGAACTTTAATAAAAAATGAAAATGCAAGTACATTTTTTTTTCATAGTTAATTTGTGACCAATTGACTATTGACGACTAGCTACCTCGTGGAAAACATTAATTAATTTTATTGGACGAAGCCATGCCGCTAGGATAGCGGCCGCTCCCAACTCTCGTATCCTTTCGTTGGAAGAGGGCGCACCCTTGGGCCCATAGCTTGACATTCTCAAGGTACATGGTTGTGTACGTGCAGGCAGCACTTACAATACAAATATACACTAATGTACTAACTGAAGGTGAGTCACGGGTTTTGACCCATTAATTCATGTTCCCACTTTAGGAGACAAAATACTCTCATATGGAGAAAATTATGAAAAATAATTTTTTTGATAAAGGTATTTTAAAAATAATTATTAAAATAATTTTAATTATATTTAATCATAATTTGATAAAAATATTTTTGAAACTATTTCAAATAAATTAAACCATTCATCACAATTTCTCTTCATTTGTACTTTTGATTTCTCTCTCTCACCATCTCACTTTTTCTAATTTTATCGATTTCTTTCTTTAACGTTTATCTACTATGCTCCCTGTTTCTCTCTCTTACTTTTTCAAATTTTTCTTTTCAATACTTTAAAGACACTAAACGATAGTTTTGATGTACTTGAGTGGATGACTATTTAAAGAATTTGATTTTTAAGTATTTTAAATAAAACTAAATAGTAAAAATGATCACAGATGTTTGAAATAGCTTTTAATTGGATTAATTTAGGATCTAGACACCAATAAACTCAAAAATTTAAAATTTATAAAATTAGGTTTTCAAATTTTTTTTTTGATTTTTAGTCAAAATAGGTGTTTTTGATAAACAAATTTATGTTTTAATTTATAAAAATATATTAGAAACACTTTAATCGGTGTCAAATTATCAAAAAAAAAAAACAGAGTTGAGAAGATTTAAAGTTTTGGTTTGTAAATAACAACAAGAGTTTAAGCATTAAAGTGTAACAAAATGTTTTTGAATATGATGTGTAACAATAATATTTTTTCAATATGGTGTGTAATAACAGTATTTTTTTTGCAACATGACATGTAACAACCTTTTTTTAACTATAGTGTATAACATGTGTTTGTATATGGTGTGTAACAATAGTATTTTTTTTTTAACATAACGTATAACAACCTAACCATGGCATGTAACATAATTTGTAAATGACGTGTAAAAACCTAATCATGGTGTGTTACATGTTTTTATACATGGCGTGTAACAACCTAACCATGTTATGTAACGATAGTATTTTTTTTTTAACATGACGTGTAACAACCTACCATGGCGTGTCATATGTTTTTGTATATGGGATGTAATAACTTAACCATGGCGTGTAACATATTTCTGTACATGACGTATAACATGTTTCTGTACATTGCGTGTAACATTATAGCGTGTAATTTTATTAAAGGTAATTTTGTCCAATTTAGCTAAAAATAGTTAAAATTATAAAGAGGGCTATTTTTAAAAACATCTTATCTTTAAGGGTTATTTTTAAAATGCCCTTATAAATGCATTATGTATGTATGCATATTTCAAGAGGACATAATTATCTAACTGTTAGAATTTGAGACTTTATTTTACAGATCTTTAGTATAAATTCTATGATTGCAATGAAGAAATTTGAGATTAAGTAGAGAGAAGAAAGGAGTATAAGGATAATTTATATGCCTGATTTTGACTATACGTATTATTATTTCTTTAAGTGTTATTTTATAGAATGAGAATAAGTATAGAACAATTATATCATACAAAGAGCAATGAAAGTATTTCAAACCAAGTGATAGGATTCTTGAGTTATTTTACTTTTCAGATGTTCTAAAGAGCTTGATTTAGTAGCTTAGGAGTTAATGAGTTCTTCTTAACCTTGCTTGAAATATATGTGCTTTATCTTTTCTTTTTCTATTTTTTTTAAGAAAATAGGTGACATATTGTTAAGTGTCATTGAGCTCCACTATCCAAAATATTTCCGTACTACCCAATTTATGAAGTGGGATAACTTGCTCTTCCATAATGTCCAATAAGTCGTTTTTCCCATAATGAATATGTTCTTCCCGTGATAAACATGTTCTTTGTAAACACAATCTTCGCATTTATTTAAAACAATTATTCTTAAGAAACCGTTTCTACCATGTGTGTGTGTGCGCATGTAAGCTTGGCAATTCAAGGGACAGAGTAGAAACACTAGTAAAAAAAAGTTTTTTTTGACCAAATTTTTTGTTGAAAAAAGTTTAAATTTCATTGAAAATACTTTTTTCCGAAGGATTTCCAACGGAAGTTTTCTTTGAAAATTCCGTTCGTAAAAGTATTGTTGAAAATACTTTCTGTTGAAAATTTCAAATGAAAAATTCCATCAAAAAATTTCGTTAGTTGTATCATCTCAATTAAGTTGAAGAAACATTTCCAATAGAATTTTTCATTACAAAAACATTTCCCACAAAATACCATTGAAAATTTCGTTAATAATTTTCGACGGAAGGTTATGTGGTAATGCCTTTCTAATTGAAATTACTATAACTAAAATTTCACTAATAAATTATCAATTGACATCTACAACTCACATCCAAAATTTATAAGAAAAATATGCATTAAAATCTAAAATTCAAACCAAGTTCATGCAATTAAAAATCGTCATAAACACACAATATTTAAAAATGTCAAACATACCAAAAAAGTACCAAATTCCAACAAAGAAAAAGAAGCATAATATCATGAAATGTGGATTATTAGTTTCTTTCAAAGTTGCTTCCTTTTCTTCTTCAAGTTTCAAAACGTTGGCAACCCTCCTTTTGAGGCCCGCAATCTGTAAACAGATAAATAAGAATGTCAAACTAAGCTCGAATTATCATTACAACAATATTTGTGCTAAACATTAATTGTATCCAAAGGCTTCCTATAAGACACCAAACAATTAGATATCACACATTAAATTTGAAAAAAAAAATTTGTATTTTTTTTAATTGGTCAACATATTAGCTTATATTCTTCTCAATCTCGTTTTCATTATTACAAATCATAAATTAATTGGTCAGCTGGTAATTATTACATATCTAAAGCATCAAATCAACCTTTTGTTTTCTAAGGCAACAATGATTATAATATTGATAATGGTTGGTTTAATGGCAGGAGAAAATATGATTATATTTCAAAAGAGGAGAGGGATAAGGATATTCCATTACATACTTACAAAAACCCACAGTAATAAAAAATTTGCTGGAAGAGCGAAGCAAGCACTTTAAGCACCTATATCATTATTCTGTACAAGTTCTACACAGCTCCATTCCAAAGGGAAAAACACAAAAAATCAACCAGCAAGGAGATCAACACTCATTTACAAACAGTAGGGTAGAAAGCGGCCAACATATTTGTTGGTACTAGTTTGCATATTTGTTGTCCTTCGTACTAGTTTGCCTGCCTTATTATCATGGAGCGCAAAACTTTTATCTTGCATTGCCTTGAACCATTTAGGATGTTGAATGGTTGACTTAATTGATCAAGGTTTTGAGGTAATAATAGATAGGGAAGTGCAAGCTAAGGAAGTGTACTCAAGGTTTGGTTTTGTGATGCAACTCTTGGATCTACTGATCATGTTATGATGATTTGGATTCTGTGAGTGTAGATGAGATGATATATCAAGTGGTGACATGCTATTATCAATGAAAGTGGTAATGGGATGTTTTGTGGGATCAGAGTTAATATGTGTAGGGCTATTATTAGGCTTGTGATCAGTGGGAATGTTAATGGGGGTAAATTCAGTAGGTGTAGGAGAATTTATAGTAGGAAGCATGTGATTTGTGGGGAGGACTACTTTAGATCCTATTGCTATAGCAATAGTAATGTGATCAGCAGCATAGGCTACTGAAAGTCTTAAAGCTACAGTTCGAGAAGCCTTAAGAGAGGCGCCATACAGGAACCATCAAGGGGATTTTCTCCAAACATAATAGTGTGGAAGAATCTGAAGGGTTACTATTTTTTTCTTCCACATTGTGGGCAAGTACTCATTTAGTCATCATCTAGAGTAACTCCAAAAATACGATTTTATGGGCTACAAACCGCTCCCATGTTTCTTGGAAAATGATTCACATAGCAAATCGTATTAACGCATACCAAAGCAACTACAATAGTCCACTATTCGTACACATTCTGAGGAACTCAAATCACTAAGTAGGTAAATCAATGAAGTTTGGTGTATCAGGCGACAATACTCTTCATGCTATCTTATAATGCCTAGAGGCTGTCACTCATCTTTGTAAAACAAAGGATAAATAACCCTTTTTTTTAATGATTAATAATAAAACTTGTTTTTTTTTTTTTTAAAAAAAAAAGCAAATTGAAGGAGATGATTATATACGTGGATTGGATCATCGTGGGTTGAAGGTGTTTTTTTTTTTTTCATAGTTTTTTCTCTTTCTTTTTCATTTTTTATTATTTGGGTATACAACAAACTTATTTATCTTATAATTTAGTTTGAGCTAAAAGTACTGAATTTGTTTGACATTATAATTGCCGTTCAAAACATAATTCTACAATTGAATTGAAATGTCAAATGTATTTCTTTTTTTTTTAAAAAAAAGGAAACGTCAAATTTAAAATTAATTAAAGTATATGGTATCTTGTCATTTTAGTTTGGAATTAGTCTATCAAAGTGATGAACTAATGTCCAACTTTGACCCAAAATGGAATGAAGTATCGCAACCTCGGAATTTTAAGAATTGAATATGGAAACTGCAACTGTTGGAGAAATATACATCGAAAAGGAAAGGACATGCAAGAAGAAAGAAGCAGCACAAGAGTCAAAAACAAGTGCAAGGCCTCGCCCATCTTTTACTGAAAAATCAAACACAGGAAGATAACTTCAACAAGAATAGTCAGGGTTCATTGAATATATATAATGATACCTGGAAATAACGATTAACCAAAAGTCTAGATTTGAAGAA